TTGGTAGCCCAGGCTGGCCTCGAACTCACAGAGATCCACCTGCCTCTGCCTCCCGAGTGCTGGGATTAAAGGCGTGCACCACCACCGCCCGGCCCCCTTTTAATTTTTTAAAGAGCCTCTCAAGCCCCTTTTGGTAGACTGAGATCTGTCTTCCTGGGTACTCAGCCTCTGTCAGGAGGGGAGCTTATCTCAGTTCTGCCCACGTTTCCCCTTAGCTTACAAACATCCACAGCGATCTCCATAGCTGCCACACCCCCAATAAAGATGGTATATCTTTATTGGAATGGGTTTTAAGATGTCTATAACAGCCCTAGCTTTGCCAAGCCCTTTCTTAAAAACTCTTGATGCAATCCACATCAGATAAACTTCATCAAGCTTAAAGACTCCCTTAGCTTTTTGCCCAGCTCTGGTTCAGTAATACCAACATAATTCTGAACACTGCAATACATATTTACAACTCTCTAACAGACCTATCATCAATATACATATTTACTATTATCACTATACATATTTACATTTTACAAACTTGCATTAAACATTTAGACTCACATTCAACACTTACACTTCTTACAAAATTCACATTCAACATATGCTTATTTATTCCTCTTATAAGCTTATATTCATAAAGAAAATCTATAGATTTATTTTACAAACTTATATTGATAAGAACTATTAGAAAGACTCTCTTAATAGAACTAGCTTACACTAGAAAGACTCTCTTAGCAGACCCAACTTATATTTAAGCCTCTCTATAGAGCTACAACCATTAGCAAATATCTAACTTAGCAAACACCTAAAAGAGATTTCTTTTTTTTTTTGCCTTTTTTAAAATTTATTTATTTATTTTTTAAATTACACTCATGATATTAATCACATATATATATATATATATACATATATATATATATATTTAATTTTAAATGTCTAATGTCATTTCTTGAAGGGGGTAGGAGGTCTTAATTATAGGCTTACAGCACAATGGGAGGACCCCGGAGGGCAGAAGTTCACTACTGATGTTTTACAATCTTACATCTAAGCTGTTAATGCACACTATTCAGGATACACAGACAAGGAACTTCCCTTAAGCATTCAGGAGAGTGGAACCTGGCAGGGAATTAGCATTGGGAGGATATCAAGGTCAAGGTCCGCAAGCAAGGCAACAGTTACCCAAAACGGGGGCCAGGGCCCTGCAGGTCCCCCTTTTATTAAAAAATGAGCTTCTGACTTGGGTTGCGTGGGACGTCAGCAGGTCACCTTACCCGTCATGGAGACGCCTGCCCAGGCCATACAGGTGCTCTGTCTTAGGTTGGTGAGTGCCCCCCAGGCATTACCCGTCTCTGAATACTCATTATCATGCCGGCTCAATCGTGTGTGAGCTGCATAGTTAATTGCTGCCAAAGATCTCAAAGTGGCACTGGACTTGCAATCTGTGTGTTCGATACAGAAAAGATCAACAGAGGTCCTATCTCACCCACAGCCAGTGGGCTAAAGGCAACTGAGCCATTCCCTTCCTTAATGAGCCATACTGTACATTGAAGTCCTTGTAAGATAGTATCCCAAAAGCAACTGGAACTTGAGTTTATAAATTTATAATTTTCAAAACCAATAGAGATGTATATAACTACTGAATTAAATTTATCATGCCCAATA